CGTCCATATGCTATAGAGATGAAAGTACAATAAATAATTTAGAAACCATATATACACTAGAAAATACGATGCAATAAGCTGTTAATTTGATGTGTGACTCGGCTAGAATGTGTGGTCACTACAATCTGTAGTTAGTAACCACTCAATAACTGAACTCGGACGTAATAAAGACATGTGTGCTATACTGTTGCACCTGCAGATATGTGTTTTCCTGTGCAGTGCAGATTGTGACCTACTATTCGTGTGATTTGTGACCTACGCATCATCCGTGACCTACTGTTCACGTGATCTGTGACCTACGCATCATCCATGACCTACTGCTCGTGTGATCTGTGACCCATGCTCTGTGTGACTAGTACACAAAAAACTGTGACTAATGTGACCTGTACTGTGACATACCCTTTAGAACTGTTACTTTTGTGTAGTAACTTACCGAACTAGTCAACGACACCTCCCTGGATACAAGTTCATACCACTATGTCTTGTTTCCCATCAAGTACTGACCGATGAAAAAAGGTGGACAGATGATATCACCTTTATCATTGAACTTCTTCCTGCAAACGAGAAGTACGGATCTTTATTTGGAACATTATGAAAATAGGACAACAATTTCGTACTTGTTATGCGGTTTGTATCCTCTTTGAAACCAATTTTGAAAGTTAGCAATATCTGCATCTTGTACATTCTGATTGTAGTGTTCGAAGACCACTACATTTCCTGAAGATTTCATTTGTTTCATTTCGTCGGCAACATAAGGGGACTGAAGGGCTTTAGCTGACTTTGGAGCCCTCTTCACCGGCAATCCAGAACTTGGTGCAGCCTCAGGTGAGTGCTGCGTAATAAAATGTGTTCTTTAATATGTGACATGTGTTAATCAATAAAAATACATAGATTTTTTTATACCTCTTGCTGAAAACATTTCGTGTCCTTCAAAACATCGGATATGACCGATCAACTTCCTTTGATGTTTTTGCAACAATCTGGCTTGGTTGTGTGAATCCAAGACCGAGATCAAAAGATGGAGGTTCAATAGAACATGGAAACTCAACTGCACACACAGAGTCAACCTTCGCCTTGCCTTTCGAATCAACACTTCGTTCGACTTTTGCAGCCTGAAAATTAGAACAAAAATGCATTTGATGAGAAATGTATATCAAATGGTTTGTGGTAACAGACAAATAAGAGGCAGTCACAGTTGGGGTACTGACTTCGCATGTTGGTCCAGATCCTACAACAATTTCTGGTCCTGCGTTCTCTCTGAATTTTTTCATAATTTCTTCCATTGAACTAGATATCAATGTAGTCACAGAATCAGACATACACTGCATGTGTGCTTTGATGTCCAACATGTCAGTACGAATTTCACCTTGCATACGAACTAGCAACTTCAGTTTCCTTTGTTGATCAGACTTTAAAGAAGACACATGTGACTGTATTGACTTGAGCTGTTTGCTTAGCAATCGATTCTCAGACTTTAGATCAAATATCTGCCCTTTGAAATAATTCTTCAATTCGTCGACCACCTGCATCACATGAATACCTATAATCAGTAAACTTATGATGATGAAATATAACATTGATCTGTGATCAGCAGCGAAATGTGTATTGGTATGTGACCTAATCACCGAAACTTGTGACCTGAATATGTGACCCGAATTTTTATGTGACCAAATGGACTTGTGACATGATAGATGAAATTGGAAGAGCTTACATCTTTTGACGGCATATCCTCTGAATCAGTGGTGTCATCTGACTTAAGCTCCCCACTTGGAGAATCTTCATGGATTGATGTCCCCTTCTAACTGGGTGGTGCGTCAACAAAGTCATCATCATCAATGGGGAGATCAGAGTGCCCCAATCGTCCATCAGTTATCAAAAGCATGAGAGTAGATTGTTTCATTCCTAGATTACTTGGTTTTGTACTAATCCCAGCACGATGATCTGATCTATGTATGCTACCACCGTTTCTCTTCTCCCCATGTGACCGATCGGGTAGGATAGGTTTCTCATACTGTACCTGACTCATGTATGGCATTGCCATTTCAGCTGGTGGGGGGTCCAGGTCACATATTTCCAACTGCCATTCATATCACAACAAAAAGTGCAATGTCAACAACCAAAAATTATGTATGAACAAACAGATATAGTTTTACACATCACATATTCAATTTGTTTCCATTAATTGTGATATAACAAGGGCAAATGGCATCGTGAAAATGTCTGTGACCTAGTATGAAATGATCTGTGACATAATGAGTAAATCTGTGACTCCGAGAATGCAATTTGTGACTTGACGAAATATATTTGTGACCTAAGAAATATGATCTGGAACATGAAAAAAATGTGCCAGTTTAATATTTTGAAACCAGTACTGCTGCATCGGTGGTCACTTACGTCCGGATTGGAGAAGCATTCAGGTCCCTCAAGCTTCGCAGCCGAAGGGTGATCATCAGCAGTCCAGTTCATTATCCTGGGGTACACTCTGGAAATCCTTCTCGCCGTGTAGCCATCGAGACTGGGAATTGTCTCGTAAATCCACACTTGAAAGGCTACAAGCAAGCCTTTGAGTCTGTAATGTGTTGATCTCTTACTCAATCCCTCCCTCAATGAATTTACTAGTTTGTCGAACAGCGACTTACCCCATGGAAACACATTCATCGCACTAAAATCTTCAACTAGTACAAACAAGAAGTGATCCACAGCCTTCTTGTAGTCTCTCGGATGTAGATAAGACGTTATGAAATATGATGTACCTAGCATGGAAACATCCTCATTCGGAATGTCAGTTGAACCAAAAAATGTGTCCTTGATATTTTCATGAGTAACATTTTTCAACGTTGAAAAATACAAATTTTTCAATCGTGATGGAGTCTTCTCCATCCTACTTATGTCATCATCGCCGACGTATCTCAGACCAGTCACCAAACAAAATTCTGAAATTGAGAACCGTACGAATCTTCCAGCTATGTTGAACCACAACTCACTCTGATTAGGTTGTTGCACTTGTCTCAGCAGAAAGTAGTGTATCA